GTGTGCGGCACCGACACGGGCTGGATGGTGGAATGAGGGATGACCAATTTCATTGGGTTAGTATGCAAGTGGTGAAATGAGACCTGTTAGAATTGACTGAGTCCTGAATACCACATCACATGATCTTGCTCTCATACACAGCCTACAATTATCTCAAGGCTCCTTGCATCAACCGCCATCACAGGAATATATCGCAACAGGGCGTGATGAATCTATGCAGCGATTTTCGTGATTTCACCGCATATGATTGGACAAAATTGGACAATTTTGAATTCGCAAGGTGACCTACCTTGCGAATTCCATAAAGAGACAGACACATGAAAAATAAACATCATCACTACAAACTTGAAGCTATATTTAATTGAAACTATACAATTTCAGAATTGTTTATGGAATTCGCAAGGTGGTTCACCTTGCGCTGCATACAAAATTGCCTATTTCACCTTGCTTTTTCTGGTTAATGACTCGTTAATCGAATTCGCAAGGTGAGCCACCTTGCTACTTTTGAATACCGGTATCAAATAAGAGTCCATCACACCTTATTTCTTGCACACGATTGGCTAACGTAAAAAACCAGTAGATTGCCCAATATCAGAGAATGACCCTAAGTACTTTTCACCAAGAAGGCTATTAAATTATGTCCAATAAAATTGCTTGATGGTATTAATTGAATCTCATTGGCAGATCACGAATTCGCGGGAAACCGTAAAGTTTTATGCGCCAAATCGCTCTTCGTCACTTCATTTCGCTCGTCCATGCGACGCAACGTCCACCACTCTGTCGAGGATCTCAATGCCACCGTCCAACGTGTCTTGGCCGGAGAATCGCAAGTCGACGTCAGCGCAGCAATCAACATTGCGTACCGGACGTTGAAAACGTATGTTCACAAGCACCGCCACGACATTTATCCCACACGGCTGCGGAAAGAGCCACCACCAACGCTACCACTCAAATGCGGAGACAGTTTCGTGGATCGTCGGGATGCAGCAGACTGGATTCCCTGTTAGTCCTTGTCAAAGCAAACGAGATTTGCAACACCGCTCCCTTGATGTCCGGATGGTACCAACGTTTCAGTCGTCGGAGTCAGAACACCCTGTTCTGTTAGAGAACATCCCCACTGCCCTGTCAGTCAGGTAGCAGCATTCTGCTAGCTGTGTAGGAGGTTTTTGTGTCTTTTAGTGGCTTTTCCTCAGGTAGAAGACAGCACAGACATTTGTCACGAAACATCACAGATGTCGTGGCCAATCATAGTCTAGTCTGATTGGCTGTTTTTCTCTGCCGTCAGAACTAATATACTTTCAGTTCTTCCTCCATCCACACACGTGTCTGCTGCTGCTTCCTGCCCTTTCTACTGGTTATGAGTCTTACTACTGCTTCCTCTGGCGGGTCACGGTGAAGACTACCATCGTGATGACCGAGACAGAGTTACCCACGATGACTATCGTGAGGTTTCCGCGACGACTACCGTGGCATCGATCACGATGTAGACCGCGTGAAAGGCGACTGTGTATCCCGGAAAGAACACCGCGACGAATGTTGCGTAAACAACTACTACTACCGCGATGACTATCGTGAAGACTAATATCCACAACACATCGTAGATTCCGTGAAGGCTACTGTGACAACGATCACGAAGTGACCGCGACGAAAAATGTCCGCGAAGTATATGACCCCGTCGGTAACTACATTGGGACTACGACTGCAATATGTCCGCGAAGGCTCGCGTCGATAACGTCCACGAACGCACTGATTACTTCCTTAAGGTATTATCATGATATATTTTGCGACATATTTCACGTAGATTATCGCGGCGACTACGTTCACGAAGACTTTAATGGCTGCTTGCCACAACGACTACCCAGGTACTACACTATATATTCCGTGACAATTTGCCCGCGTAGATTATCAAGCCAAATACCACGGAGGCAACCGTGACTTTCGTGCGTGATTCACTGTCACAACCGCAGTCGACGCGCTCCGCCCACTGACTAAGGCTGCGCACCACCGAGTAGCAGCGAATTTCGCGCCTCGAACTGCACGTTCGTGTCTCAGAACAAACGTGCCCACGTGACCAGACTATTTATTGATGTCTTCACGCACACATGTTTGCATTTATGCCTCGACAGGTTATCGATGAACAACATTCACGTGTTGCATTTTTCGGGACTTTCAGAAGTCGACCGACAAATCAAGTACACATCGTACTTTCGACATTAGCGGTGGACATTAGTCCGTAATGTTGCTGGTGCAGCCGATGCCCACCAACACAGTTGTTTGGCGTGGATCAGTTCGATCAATGTCGCTGGCACCAACGGCTACGGAACAGCATTTATCTGAAGGATGGTTATCGCATCCAGATCATTTGTTGGACAAATACTACATATGGATAGATATCGTCTCCATCACTTTAACTGAGTGGGTACCATCCACGAGTATGACAAAGTTGATGCCTCCCGAAGGGGCAATTAGAGTACTACACTACTCCAATTGCCCCTTCGGGAGGCATCAACTTTGTCATACTCCGCCTCCACCACGGAAGTTGTCCACAACTCCGACGTCCAAACGTCGTTTGTTGTCCAACAACCCGCACCAATCGGCGTCGATGATGACGAACTGGTCCTCATGGCTTCCTAATGGACATGTTGCAACCTATCAAACAAGGGTGCGATTTCAGATGCACGACCTTGGGGCTCTCAAGTTTATTCTCGGATTTACATGGTTCTGCTCGAACTCTCGCAATGCATCAGTCTCAATATGCAACCTCAAACATCATGAGGTTTAGCATGGAGAATTAAAAACCAACCCTCACTCCAATGGAGTTCAAGGTCAAGCTGTCTGAGTAGATGTATCCTCAGAACGATGCAGAACGCCAGTCCATGGTGGGCACGACACATCGGTTGGTCGTCGACAGCATCATGAATCTCATGATCAGCACCCGACTAGACCTGACATGCGTCGCCCTACAACTGTCCCAGTTTCTCACGAGCTCCGGCCCTGCTACATGCAGGAGGCCATGTGCGCTATCGGATACATCCAACGAACGATAACCTATGATCTCGTCGTAGGTAGTGCGTATGATCACTCCATCCGCATCACGCACATGTAGACAGTGACTGCGCCAACTGTGTTGATGCGTCGCGGGTTTAGTGTGACATTTTACCGCTACTTTGCGATATCTCGGATCGCTAAGAGAATGCGAAGCATCGTCCTCTCGACAACGAGGCAGCGCTAATCCTTCTGTGCAAATTTGCACAAGGGAGCCTGAGTTTCAAACAGGTAGTCGGTGACATGGGACATCCCATCACCACAGCTATTCCTCTATACGAGGTCGATAAGAGCACCATCCAGATCGTGAACCACTCTGGACGTTATGGGCGTACAAATCACATTGACGTACGTTACCATTTCGAGAACCACCTCATCGAACAATAGACTTATGTCTTGTTTCCACCGATACACGACCCCAGGTCGCGGATATCAATACCCTAGATGGCACAATGTTCTGCGCTCTGCGTAGTCAACTAACGGGTGGGACTGCTGTCGTCCTTCAGCACCCTCAGGCGAAAGCCAGGGAGCACAAACTCCGGCCTCTCAGCTGATGACTGAGTCGATGTGCCAGGGGGACGCCCTGAAGCATCTTGGCTCGATATCGGGGGGTGACGGCATCCCGGTGGTTACTCGATCCATCCGGCCCTTCCACGACATGTCGTTCGGTAAGGGCCAATTGGTAGGGACCTGCTGAAAGGGATGTCCGACGAGTTGAGTCCCGGACAGACGACGGTGTAACCAGTGGTGGTTACGCTCACTGAGCTTAACCGCCAGCCTTTTGCTGCACTCTGGGCACCTGATTACGGTTGACAGTGCGTGGCGCTGTTGGGAGGCAGTCAGGACACCCTGTTCTGTTAGTGAACATCCCCACTGCCCTGTCAGTCAGGTAGCAGCATTCTGCTAGCTGTGTAGGAGGTTTTTGTGCCTTTTAGAGGCTCTTCCTCAGGTAGAAGACAGCGCAGACATTTGTCACGAAACATCACAGATGTCGTGGCCAATCATAGTCTAGTCTGATTGGCTGTTTTTCTCTGCCGTCAGAACTAATATACTTTCAGTTCTTCCTCCATCCACACACGTGTCTGCTGCTGCTTCCTGCCCTCTCCACTGTCGGCATCCTGACAGTGAGTTGCTTTCACGGACGTCGCAGATCATCTCGCGAGTCCGCAACGAGGTGTGCGAAGTGGACCTGGACGTTCTGTCAACTCGCTCGTGAAGGCGGTGATTGAAGAAAAGCTAACAAGCTC